ACCGGTGTATTTTATACGGAGAACCGCTGCTCCGGGGCGCCGACAAAGCAGCTATGTGGGGCAAAGCAGCGGCGCCAGCCGGCACAGCCGCGCTGGCCGAAACAGCCACGCTGGTGACCTGTGGAGCTCCTCCGCCTGGGAATTTCCTAGTCTGTGGGCAATAAAAATGCGGCGTCCACTCACCCTCTGCGCTTTCACTGGGAGCTGCAATCCTGAGCTGTTCCTAAACTGCCATCTTGGATCCTCCTCCTGAAACTGGATAATTTATAAAGCAAAGAGATTTAATTTACTCACAGTTCCACATGTCTGGGGAGGCCTCAGGAGACTTATAACCATGGTGGAAGAGAAAGGGAAGCAAGGACCTTCTTCACAAGGCAGCAAGAGAGATGAGTGCTAGCAGGGGAAATGCAATATACTTATAAAAGCATAAGATCTCATCAGAACTCATTCACTATCATCACAACAGCATAGAGGAAACTGCCTCCATGATTCAGTCACCTACCCCTGTTGACATGTGGAGATTACAATTCAAGATGAGATTTGAGTAGGGACACAGAGCCAAATCATATCATTCCACTCCTGGCCCCTGCAAAATGTCATGTCTTTTCACATTTCAAAACCAATCATGCCTTCCCAACAGTCCCCCAAAGTCTTAACTCATTTGAGCATTGACTCAAAAGTCCACAATTTAAAGTCTCGTCTGAGACAAGTCAAGTTCCTTCCACCTATGAGGCTGTAAAATAAAAAACGGGTTAGTTCCTTCCGTCCAAGATACAATGGGGGTACAGGCATTGGATAAATGCTCCCGTTTCAAAGGGGAGAAATTGACCAAATCAAAGGGGCTACAGGCCCCATGCAAGTACAGAATCCATTGGGGCAGTCATTAAATCTTGAAGCTCCAAAATGATCTCCTTTTACTTCATGTTTCACATCCAGGTCATGCTGATGCAAGAAGTAGGCTCCCACAGTCTTGGGTAGATCTACCCCTGTGGCTTTGCAGGGTACAGCCTCCCCCGCTTCCACCAGCTGCTTTCATGGTTGGTGTTGAGTGTCTGTGGCTTTTCCAGGTGCACAGTACAAGCTGTTGGTGGATCGCTACCTTTCTGTGGTCTGGAGGATAGTGGCCCTCTTTTCACAGCTCCACTAGGGAGTGCTCCAGTGGGACTCTGTGTGGGGGCTCCAATCTCACATTTCCCTTCTATACTGCCCTAGTGAAGTATTCCATGATGGCTCCTCCCCTGCAGCAGACTTTTGCCTGGACATCCAGGCATTTCCATACATACTCTGAAGTCTAGGCAGAGGTTCCCAAACCTCAGTTCTTGACTTCTGTGCACCTGCAGGCCTAACACCACATGGAAGATGCCAAAGCTTGGGGCTTGGCCAGGCGCAATGGCTCATATCTGTAATCCCAGCACTTTGGGAGACCAAGGTGGGCAGATTATAAGGTCAGGAGATCGAGACCATCCTGGCTAACATGGTGAAACCCCTTCTCTACTAAAAATATAAAAAATTAGCCAGGTGTGGTAATTCCAGCTACTCAGGAGGCTGAGGCAGGAGAATCACTTGAACCTGGGGAGATTGAGGTTGCAGTGAGCCGATCATGCCACTGCACTCCAGCCTGGGCAACAGAGTAAGACTCTGTCTCAAAAAAAAAAAAAAAAAAACAGTTTGGGGCTTGCACCCTCTGAAGCAATTGTGTGAGCTGTGTCTTGGCCCCTTTTAGCCATGACTAGAGCTGAAGCTGCTGGGATGCGGGATGTGGCTGCACAAAGCAGCAGAGGCCCTGAGCCCCAGCCCACTAAACCATTTTTCATCCTAGGCCTCAGGGCCTGTGATGGGAAGGGCTGCTGCAAAGATCTCTTGACATGCCCAGGAGATGTTTTCCCCATTGTCTTGGAGATTAACATTTGGTACTTATGCAAATTTCTACAACCAGCTTGAATTTCTCCCCAGAAAATGGGTTTTTCTTTTCTCTTGCATTGTCAGGCTGCAAATTTCCCAAGCCTTTATGTGCTGCTTCCCTTTTGATTTCAAACCATCTCTTTATGAACACATAAAACTGAATGCTTTCTGAATAATCCAGGTCAAGTCTTGAATGCTTTGCTGCTTAAAAATTTCTTTTGCCAGATACCCTAAATCATCTCTCTCAACTTCGCTATTCCACAGATCTCTAGGGTGGGGGCAAAATGCCACCAGTCTCTTTGCTAAAGCATAGCATGAGGGACCTTAACTCCAGTTCCCAATAAGTTCCTCATCTCCATCTGAGACCACCTCAGCCTGGACTTCATTATTCACATCACTATCGGCATTTTGATCAAAACCATTCAACAAGTTTGGCCGGGCGCGGTGGCTGACACCTGTAATCCCAGCACTTTGGGAGGCTCAGGTGGGTGGATCACATAAGATCAAGAGTTCGAGACCAGCCTGACCAACATGGTGAAACCCTGTCGCTACTAAAAACAAAAAATTAGCCGGGTGTGGTGGTGCATGCCTGTAATCCCAGCTACTTGGGAGGCTGAGGCAGGAGAATCACTTGAACCAAAGAAGCTGGAGTTGCAGTGAGCCAAGATCACGCCATTGCACTCCAGCCTGACAAGAAGAGTGAAACTCCGTCACAAAAACAAAAACAAACAAAAAACCCATTCAACAAGTTTCTATGAAGTTCCAAACTTTCCCACATTTTCCTTTCTTCTACTGAGCCCTCCAAACTGTTCCAACCTCTGCCCATTACCCAGTTCCAAAGTTGCTTCCACATTTTCAAGAATCTTCATAGCAATGCCCCACTCCCTGCGGTAACAATTTACTCAATTTACTACATTAGTCCGTTTTTACACTGCTCTAAAGAAATATCCATGGGAGGCTGAGGCAGGAGAAATGCTTGAACCCGGGAGGCATTGCAGTGAGCCAAGATCGTACCATTGCACTCCACTCTGGGTGACAGAGTGAGACTCTGTCTCAAAAAAAAAAAAAAAAATATCCAAGGCTGGGTAATTTATAAAGGAAGGAGGTTTAATTGAGTCAGAGTTCCACCTGACTGGGGAGGCCTCAGGAAACTTAAAATCTTGGCGAAGGTGAAGGGGGCAAGGAGCTTCTTCATAAGGCAACATTAGAGAGAAGTGCCAGCAGGGGAAATGCCAGACACTTATAAAACCATCAGATCTTGTGAAAATTCACTCACTATCATGCGAACAGCATGGGGGAAACGGTTCCCATGACTCAATCACCTCCTTCCCTTGACATGTAAGGATTATAGATCCCTCCCTCAACATGTGGGGAATACAATTCAAGATTAAACTTGGGTGGGGACACAGAGCCAAACCGTATTAGCTATTGAAGGTTCTTATCACTGGAGATTATTAGTTATAGAATGTATAACCAAAGGAAGTTGTCTCGGTTTCCTGTAGACTTGATAGACTTTGGCAAATTTTCCTGGGCAAATACCTATTCTGCCTTTCTGCTGTAAAGACTAGTCTAATCTGAGCTATGATACAAGTCCAGGTTTTCCACATTAGGATCTACTGTAAGGGAATAGGCCTGGCATAGTTTTAGTGATCTTAAGTAACTAAGGCCAATCTCAAGCAGAACCAAAATACCTTGCCCATCTCAACTCTCTGATAGTCCTAGAAGAAGCTGAGTTTATGCACCATGTGAAAATAATTTAGGACTCTATGTATCTTTATTTTTTTTGAGACAGGGTCTAACCCTGTCACCCAAGCTGGAATGTAGTGGCACAATCTTGACTCATGGCAACCTCTGCTTCCCAGGCTCAAATAATCCTCCCACCTCAGCCTCCCATGTACCTGGGACTACAGTCGCATGCCACCATGCCTGGCTAATTTGTGTGTGTGTGTGTGTGTGTGTGTGTGTGTGTGTGTGTGTGTGTGTATTTTATTTATTTATTTTTTTGTAGAGATGGGGTTTTGCCATGTTGCCCAGGCTGGTCTCAAACTCCTGAACTCAAGCCATCTGTCTGCCTCAGCCTCCCAAAGTGCTGGGGTTACAGGCATGAGCCACTGTGCCCAACCAGACTGTGTGTTTCTCAATAGGGGTGCCATTGCCCGTTTAGATGGGCAATTCTTAGTTCTGGGGGACTCTCTTATACACTGTAGTACAACTCAGTGTCCCTGACCCTGGCACTGGCACACTAAATGGAAGTAGTAGCACCCCTTTCCCCATCCCATGCAGTCTTTGTTACAAACAGAAACTCCCTCCCACATATCTAAATGTTCCTTGACAACAGGTTAAGAACCAATGTTCTAGGACTAGGGTGAAACTCTAAAAGTGTCTGCCAACAAGAGTTACCATACAGGTTTTTCCAGTTCAAGGTTTATATTCCTGGGTTTGACCTAGAACTGATATAAGGAGAAAGGGAAAGCAACTTTCATCTAGGCATTTGTTCAGATTCTATTTTGTATCTAGATATTTTTGACAAGTAACAAATAATAATATGTTTCACGAAAGTCATCATTTACACTCCTTAAATCTATCTTTACTCTCCATATAGGGGAGGCAATGCCTGTGGCTAAGAAACCTGGCAGCACAGTGATTGCTGGTTCCATTAACCAGAACGGGTCACTGCTTGTCCGTGCAACTCATGTTGGAGCAGATACAACCCTTTCTCAAATTGTCAAACTTGTGGAAGAGGCACAAACATCAAAGGTAATTTAACTCCCTAGGAGAAACACAAACTATTTTCTTTAAAGCCTTCTCAGTATAAATCTTCACCTAGTTTTTATGTTTTCCAATGAGAAATTTTAGTTGCATTAATATGGAGTTTGTTTGTTTTTGTTTTTGTTTTGAGACAGTCTCACTCTGTTGCCCAGGCTGGAGTGCAGTGGTACCATTATAGCTCACTGCACCCTTGACCTCCTAAGTTCAAGCGATCTTTCTGCCTCAGCCTCCTGAGTAGCTGGGACTATGGGCACATGCCCCCACACCCAGCTAATTAAAAAAATTTTTTTTTTTAATAGAAACAGGGTCTCCTTAAGTTGGCCAGGATGGTCTCAAACTCCTGGACTCAAGCTATCATCCTGCCTTAGTCTCTCAAAGTGTTGGGATTACAGGTGTGAGCTACCACACCTGGCCATTAACATGAAGTTTGTTAAAATATTTCTGTTTGTGGTAACTCCTAAATATACTCTGTATTCAGTATCAGAAAAGACTTTGATATGCTGCTTCTTATTATTATTGTTATTTTTAATTCTAGGCTCCTATCCAGCAGTTTGCAGACAAACTCAGTGGCTATTTTGTTCCTTTTATTGTTTTTGTTTCCATTGCCACCCTCTTGGTATGGATTGTAATTGGATTTCTGAATTTTGAAATTGTGGAAACCTACTTTCCTGTAAGTAACTTGTAATAACTTTTTATTATATGCAAAGCAATTTGTGAGATTTTTGCGTAGTAATTCAGTGGAAATAACTTTAATAATTACCAGGATCGTTAAAGGGATGGAGTGGGACGGTGATAAGAATAATATTTGCATTTTTATAAATATAAACGATTTCCTTTTGAAAAAAACATTTATTATGACTTGTGACTTTCTAAAAGGAAATACCAAACTTTTACATGTTATGCTTAGTCTCATTTCTGACATGGTTTTACTTTGACAAAGGATTATAGATATATTGAGGAAAACCTCAGGATTTCAGCTCTGTCATTTGCTATCAATGTGATCTTAGACTACTTAATTGCTCTTGAGCTTCAGTTTCCTCAGCTATAAAGTGAGATTTTAATAATACCCATTTTGCATAACTTAAGGTTGTTGTGAAGGTTAAATAAGATAATATATTAGAAAGAATTTGTAACTTAGTAAATGCTTTACACATATATTATTAGTACCTACTCATATAATTCTGTGATGCCCTTTATGGTGTCATAAAGTGGTAAAGTAGAACTGGACTGTACCTCCAACTAGATAGATAAACTTTAAGTTCTCAGTTTTCTTATCTATAAAACAGCGAAAATAATACCTAAGATACAGGACTGGAATTAGTATAGGTGAAAGCATCTAACATACTGCCAGATGCAGGAGACAGCCAGGGGTCCCCCAGCAAAACCACGCCTTCAAGCCTAAAACAGCCTGAAGGTTGAAAAGCTGGATTGCTGTTCCCAGATGAAGCCTGCCCTTCCGCCCGGCCCTGCACTGATTCTTTCTGAATGTTGTCCACCTACGCACTGGGAGGATGGGGGTGGGGCCCTGGGAAGTTCACACTGTTGGTATAGGGGAGGAACCTAGCTTGTCCTGTTCCTGGGTGGTACCTGGGGCTCATTCGGTGAGGTGGAGAGCCTGTTAACAGGAGTCAATCTGGTTTTGCCGAGTTGTTTTTCCTTTTTCCTTTTTGCCCAATAAATTCCCTTCCCCCTCACCCGTCAAAGCGTCTGTGAACCTAATCTTTCCTGGTCGTGTGACAAGAACCTGTTTTTTTCAACAACAACATGTAAATATGTACATACATGAAGTTTATGAAAGCATAAGCCCAGATATCTATGAAAGCCCCTTCCAATTCTGTTTCTGTATAGATCTATAACTCTTAGATGAATATTTAAGTAGTTGAGAACTTAATAAGAACCTTACACTGTAAAACTATTACTGATAAGAGCTGCAGTGAGCCATGATTGCACCACTGTACTCCAACATGGGCAGCAGAGTGAGACTCCTATTCAAAGTAAATAAAGAAAGCCTGTCTTTGTTGTGTTTATTTTTTATTCAGGGGTACATGTGCAGGTTTATTTATTTATTTGTTTTTTCGAGACAGAATCTTGCTCTATCGCCCAGGCTGGAGTGCAGTGGAACAATCTCAGCTCGCTGCAACTTCCACCTCCCAGGTTCAAGTGACTCTCATGCCTCAGCCTCCCAAGTAGCTGGAAATACAGGCTTATGCCAGCACACCCAGCTAATTTTTGTGTTTATAGTAGAGATGGGTTTCACCATGTTTGTCAGGCTGGTCTCGAATTCCTGACTTCAGGTGATCCGCCTGCCTTGGCTTCCCAAAGTGCTGGGATAACCTGTGTGAGCCACCATGCCCGGCCCATGTGCAGGTTTATTACATGGGTATATTGAGTGATGCTGGGGTTTAGGCTTATGGTGATCCCATCACCCAAGTAGCGAACATAGTACTCAGCAAGTACTTTTTCATCTCTTGCTTCCCTCCCTTCCTCTCACCTTTTGGAGGCCCCACTGCCTATTGATTCCATTTTTATGTCCATATGTAGCCATTGTTTAGCTCCCGCTTATAAGTGAGAACATGTAGTATTTGATTTTCTGTTTCTACATTAATTCACTTAGGATAATGGCCTCCAGCTTCACCCATGCTGCACAAAGGATGTGATTTCATTCTTTTTATGGCTGCATAGTATTCCATGGTGTATATGTACCACATTTCCTTTATCCAGTCCACCATTAATGGGCACTTGGGTGATTCTATGTCTTTTCTATTGTGAAGAGTGCTGTGATAAACATACATGTGCAGGTGTCTTTTTGATAAAACAGTTTAAATAAAGGAAATTCCTTTGGGTAGATATCTAGTAGTGGGATTACTGGGTTGAATGTTAGTTCCATTTTAAATTCTTTGAGAAATCTCCAGTTTGTTTTCCATAGAGGTTGAACTAATTTACATCCCCACCAACAGTATATAAGTGTTCCCTTTTCTCTGCATCGTTGTCAACATCTGTTATTTTTTGACTTTTTAATTATAGCCATTCTGACTGGTGTGAAGGGGCATTTCATTGTGGTTTTAATTTGCATTTCCCTGATGATTAGTGATGTTGAGTATTTTTTCATGTGTTTTTTGACTACTTGTATGTCTTCTTTTGAGAAATGTCTACTTATGCCCTTTGCCCACTTTTAAATAGGGTTTATTTTATATTTATTTATTTTGCTTAAGTTTCTCATAGATTCTAGATATTAGTCCTTTGTTGGATGCATACTTTGCAAATATTTTCTCCCATTCTGTATGTTCTGTGTTTATTCTATTGTTTATTCTGTTTCTTTTGCTGTGCAGAAGCTCTTTAGTTTAATTAAATCTCCTTTATTAATTTTTGGTTTTGTTGCAATTGCTTTTGAGGTCTTAGACATAAATTCTTTCCCTAGGCCAATGTCCAGAAGAGTTTTTCCCAGGTTTTCTTGAGGTTTTTATAGTTTGAGATTTTACATATAAGTCTTCAATCCATCCTGAGTTGAATTTTATATATGGTGAGAGATAGGAATCTACTTTCATTCTTCTGCATATGGCTAGCCAGTTTTTCCAGAACCATTTATTGAATAGGGTGTCCTTTCCCTATTGTTTTTGTCAACTTCGTTGAAGATCAGTTGGTTGTAGGTATGTGGCTTTATTTCTGGGTTCTCTATTTTGTTTAGTTGATCTACATGTCTATTTTTGTATCAATACCCTGCTGTTTTGATTACTGTGGCCTTTTAGTATAATTTGAAGTCAGGTAATGTGATGCCTCTAGTTTTATTCTTTTTGCTTAGGATTGATTTGGCTATTTAGGTTCTTTTTCCTAACAAATTTTAGGATTGCTTTTTAAATTCTGTGACAAAGGATATTAGTAGTTTTATAGGAATTGTATTGAATCTATAGATTGCTTTGGACAGTGTGGTAGTTTTAATAATATTAATGCTTCCAATCCATGGGATGTTTTTCCATTTGTTTGTGTCCTCTTCAGTTTCTTTCATCAGTGTTTTATAGTTCTGTTTGTAGAGATCTTTCACCTCCTTGGTTAAATGTATTCCTAGATATGTTTTGTGTGTGACTATTATAAACGGCATTGAGTTCTTGATTTGGTTCTCAGGTTGGACATTGTTGGTGTATAGATATGCCACTGATTTTTGTGTGTTGACTTTGTATCCTGAAACTTTACAGAAGTAGTTTATCAGGTCTAGGAGTCTTTTGGAGAAATCTTTATGGTTTTCTAGGTATAGGATTTTGTCATCAGGAACAGAGATAATTTTTTTTTTTCTTTGAGATGGAGTTTCACTCTTGTTTCCTAGGCTGGAGTTCAATGGGCAATCTCAGCTCACTGCAACTTCCGCCTCCTGAGTAGCTGGGATTATACGCGTGCGCCACCATGCCTGGTTGATTTTTGCATTTTTTATTCATTCATTCATTCATTCATTTTGAGATAGAGTCTCGCTCTGTCACCCAGGCTGGAGTGCAGTGGCTCCATCTTGGCTCACTGCAACCTCCGCCTCCCGGGCTACAGCGTTTCTCCTGCCTCAGCCTCCTGAGTAGCTGGGACTACAGGCATGCGCCAGCACACCCAGCTAATTTTTGTATTTTTTAGTAGAGATGGGGTTTCACCATATTGGCCAGGCTGGTCTCGAACTCCTGAGCTCGTGATCCACCCACCTCAGCCTCCCGAAGTCCTGGAATTACAGGTATGAGCCATTGCGCCCGACTGAAATGCTTTCATTATTTACCCAAAAGTTATTCAGGAGTTGGTTGTTTAGTCTCCCTGTACTTGTGTGGTTTTTAGAGTTCCTCTTGGTATTAATTTCTAATTTTATTCCACTGTGGTCTAGGAAGATCTTTGATCTGATCTAGTTGTTTTTGAATTTATTGAGACTTTGTTTATGACCAAGCCTATGGTCAATATTAGAGAATGTTCCATGTTCATATGAGAAGAATGTATATTCTTTGGTTATTGAGTCGAGTATTCTGTAGATATCTATTAGGTTCGTTTGGTTGAGAGTCCCATTTAAGTGCAGAGTTTCTTTGCTAATTTTCATCCTTGATGATCTCTCTAGTGCTGTCAGTGGGGTATTGAAGTCCTCCACTATTATTTTATTGCAGCCTACCTCTTTTTGTAGGTCTAGCAGTATTTGTTTTATAAATCTGGATGGTCCAATGTTGGGTGCATATATATATATATATATATATTTTTTTTTTTTTTTTTTTTTTGAGGTAGAGTCTTGCTCTGTCACCAAGGCTGGAGTGCAGTGGTGCAATTTCAGCTCACTGCAACCTCTGCCTCCTAGGTTCAAGTAATTCTCCTGCCTCAGCCTCCTGAGTAGCAGGGATTACAGGCGCATGCCACCACGCCCAGCTAATTTTTGTATTTTTAGTAGGGACGGGGTTTCACCATGTTGCTCAGGCTGGTCTCGAACTCCTGACCTCATGATCTGCTGGCCTCAGCCTCCCAAAGTGCTGGGATTACAGCTGTGAGCCACCTCGCCTGGCCGGGTCTTGTTTTTTTGTTCCAATTTGCCATTCTGTGTCTTTTAAGTGGAGTATTAAGGCCATTTACATTCAAGTTTAATATTGATATATTAGGTTTACTCCTCATGGGGGTGTTCATTAGTTTCTCTGTAGTCTCAATTGTGTAATTGCTTTATACGGTTTGTGAGCTTTGTATTTATATGTGTTTTTGTAGTAGCAAGTATCATTCTTTTGTTTCCATGTTCAGAACTCCTCTGAACATTTATTGTAGTTCTGGTATGGTGGTGATGAATTTCCTTACTGTTTGCTTGTCTGGGAAAGACTTTATTTCTACTTCATGTATGAAGCTTAATTTGGCAGGATATGAAATTCCTGTTCCAGTTTTTTTGTTTTGTTTTGTTTTTGTTTTTAGGGAACGTAAAAATAGGCCCCCAATCACTTCCAGCTTGTAACATTTCCACTGAGAAGTCTTCTGTTAACCTGATGGGTATGCTCTCTAGGTAATTTGGCCCTTTTGTCTAGCTAGCTGCCTTTAAGATTTTTTCTTGTGCATTGACTTTGGATATTCTATACCTGTGTCCCTTGGATATGGTCGTCTTGTATAGTATCTTGCAGGAGTTCTCTGAATTTGAAATTCCTTTAGTGAATTTTTCAGTTCCAGCAGTTCCATTTGGTTTTTTCTTAATATGGCTACTTCCTCCTGCATATCCTGAATCGTTTTTCTGGTTTCTTTATATTGGATTTCAATTTTCATTTGGATCTCATTGAGGTTTCCTTGCAATCATATTTAAATTACTTATTTCAGTTGTCTTAGGATCTGTTGCTAGAGAGCTATTAGAATCCTTTGGAGGTGTGAAAACACTTTTTGTACTGCTGGAGTTCTTGCACTGATTCTTTCTCATCTGAGGGAACTTTTGCTTCCTGTTTTTTAATTTGCTATCATTTCCATGAGTCTTTTTCTCTTCTTTTTTTTCCCATTGAGTGCTTTACGGTGGTGCATGTTGTGTATGATCATTTAACTTTGTTTCTTGATGCTTTCAGGGGGCCAACGTGATATACAGATTCCTTGGTTGTGGATAGCTTCTACACCGTAGCTTTCTCGGATGCTGCTTTTTGTAGTGAGTTATTAGCCATTAAAGCTGACACTCTCCTGTAGAGTTTAGGGTGCAGAAGTCCCTGTGGACTTATTTTATGGGCTAGAACTAAGCCCTTCTGTTAACAGATTTTAAATTTTATGATGCAGTTCAGGCTGCATACCAGTAGATGGCGCTCAAGAGTAAGAACCAGCATGTAGGTTGTTAGGTGGAAGCACCTGCCCTGATGCAGGGGTGGTGGGAAGAGATTACATTAGGGTGCACTCCCACTCCTGATCCTGTGCTGGCAAGAACATGATCAGCTTCCCTTTTGTGCCCTTCTTGTAGGGCTCCTGACCTTCATTTCATAAGGACTTTGTTCTTTGGTTCCCATGAGTATGCCCCTCGGATAGCTACCACTAAAATGGGTTTACAGGAGAGTCTTTTCCTCCAGACTAAAGCAGGCAACTCCATGATTTGTCTATTTCTCTTTCGTGGGAAAGTGCCGCTTTGTTGAGAGAGGGAGTTGAGCCTTCCCTTTGAAAAAGCCCAAGCAGCACGTGGCTCACTTGCAATATTGGGGTGGAGCCACCATGTAAAGAAATATGCTTTGTCCAAGTGTGCACTAGCTGGCCCTGGTGGGAAATACCACTGCTCCATCCGCAGCACTGTGGGTGTGGGGGGAAGGTTGTGGCAGGAGATTATCTCCCCTCCCTGTCTATTCCTGGGCGATGGTACTGCCACTTTCAGTGATTGGCACCATGCCCACATTTCCTTTATCCCAAGGGGAGCTTTGGCAGGCTGCACTTCCCTTAAGGGTGGCCCACATCAGGGGTTAGATCTCTAGGGATCCTGCAGCTCCCTGAGGATCTGCTGGTCCCCTGTGCTGCATTCCATCATGGGTGACAGAGTGAGATGCTGAATCAAAATAAATAGTGTTACTTTGTTGTGTTTCTCTATTTTTAAAAAATGCCATGCTGTACACTGTTTCATCTTGCTGTTTGTTCCTTCAGTTGAACAAGCAGAATCATAACAAATACATATCTGGTTCATGTTATGGTCATTACTGTAATTTTTTTTGAGACAGGGTCTTGCTCTGTTTCCCAGGCTGGAGTGCAGTGGTACGAACAAGGCTCACTGCAACCTCAACCTCCTGAGCTCAAGTAATCCTTCCACCTCAGCCTCCCAAGTAGCTGGGACTACAGGTGCACACTACCATGCCTGTCTAAATTTTCTATTTTTTGTAGAGATAAGGTCTCACTATGTTGTTGCCCAGGCTGGTCTCAAACTCCTGGGCTCAGGTGATTTGCCAGCCTTGGCCTCTCAAAGTTCTGGGATTACAGACAGAGCCACCATGTCCAGCCCATTACTGTAATATTAAAAAGTTTCTTTAAATGATTCATGTCTGTTTAGTACACATTGAACAAAAGCATTGTTGGGAAGTGTTTTTTTTTTTTTTTTTTTTTT